ACATTACAAAATTTACAACAATTACCTTAATTGCAAACTACAAAGAAAAAAAAACTACGCTGCACTACACTACAGGATATCATAACTTATTCAACTTGAACTTAAAATAAAGAGTAATTAAGGGAATCTTAGAAAAACTGTTGTATTGATGGGAGTAAAGGTTTCCATTTTTTATCGTGGAAATGCATTTTATTGTTTTTTTTTTACGATAAAACGTTTGGTTTGAAACGTTTTTTTTTTAAATTTATCGACTAACAGTCTTATACATAAAGAGCCCTTATTTAACTTACAGCGGTAAATAAAATATTTACTTCCACGAAGGATGTAGTTGACTAGAATGCTTATATTATCTGTATCTAAAATCACAAAAAGAACATCCTTGATATCAAACCTTATAGTTATATTTAAAGAATTAAGTACAACCTAAGTACAATCCCAAAGCATGCACACTTTTGTACAATGGAAAAAGAGATGTTCTATGGTCTCCAACTCCTTTTCATAAAAATCGCATAAGGGAGAATCTACTTTTTTAAAACTTAAATAGCATCTTGTTTTTGTATAAGATCCTGTTTAATATTTTATATTGGAATTCTCTTAATTTAGTATCCAATGTTGTTTTGAAGGGCAGTAGATATATCTTTTCCCAGCTGCATGTCTAACTGGGATGTGTGCGTGCTGAAAGCTTCGTTATATTTCTTTTGCGCTGTTGGTATACTGGATATCTTAGAAACAAAACTGTCATATAACGACTTCGATTTAAGATTTTGGAAATCGACTTTTTTCCCGTCAATACGTAAATTGAAATCAGTTTGGATTAGATCATGGGTTTTTAAGGAGATAGAGTTTTAATTTGTTTTTAACATTTTGCGCCATTCTTCAGCAAAAGCATTGAAGAGACTGAAAAATAGAAAATGTTCAACTGGTGAGAGAGTTGAATATAATGGTTCTATGTTCGACTTGAACTCTCCCCGTGTGTCGGAGAGGTATCCAATTCTTACGATTCCAAGATCAATCAGCCTACTGTTATAAATTGACTTAGATTCAATGCAAAAAAACTGCTTGCTCCATATAACTTGATTTGCTATTTCAGAGGATGAGGAGGGGATGTCCTCGCTCAAAAGGGTCCATGTCACAATGCATTCCGCTTTATAAAATTCTGGAAGAGTTATCGGTAGTTTAGTGTATTTAAAATTACAATGGAACAAGAATTTTCCCGCACTTTTTTTAAGATAAAAATCCAGAAAAAACTTCCAGCTGGCGGGATCGGAGGAGAGATATCTCTTGATACAAATTATTCTTTGGGCAGAAATCATTGAATCAATGTTGGGCATGTTCAAGCCTGCTTTATCAATAGGGTTAATAAATGCTGTGCGCTTTACTTTATCTTTTCCCTTCCAAACAAAAGAATATAATAAAGTATTTATTCTTTTGATAAACTCTTTTTTGTTTGAAATGAGAACAACCCTGTATAAGATCTTTGGTATGGCAAAAGATTTGATCACTTGGATTTTTCCAAGTAGTGTAAGTCCTCTCCAGCTCCAGCCCTTCAACAAACCTCTCAGAGATTTCTCGATTGATTCAAAGTTTAGCTTATAAAACAGTGAGTGATTAAAGGTAACGTGAACCCCTATAATTTTTATGACCTTACGTATTTCATTTACATCTAGTTCTGAGCTGCTTACTTCCATATTTCCTACTAGAAGAATTTCCGTTTTGTCGTGATTGACCTCCAATCCGGAGTATGTACTAAACAGATCTATTTATTTATTTATTTATTTATTTATGGATTCGTACAAGTACAGGTGCTTAAAGTTTATCAACAAGGGTGCGGTGCGAAGATTTGTCCCTAACAAGTGATGTCATTTCATCAGCGAATATAACTAATTTGATCTCACAACCATCCACTGCAATACCCTTAATTTGATCTTTATTACGTATGGATAATGCCAATAATTTAAGTACTATTATGAAAAGAAATGGCGAGAGTTGGTCGCCCTGGCGAACACCCCGTTTAACATTGTAAGAGGGAGTGGAAAAACCGTTATTGATAACACAACTTGTTATATTCTTTTAAAACGTTTTGATCCAACCCAAGAAGGATTCTCCAAAGCCAAAGAATTCTAGTGATTTGTGAAGGAAGTTCCAATTTAAAGAAACGAAGGCTTTCTCAAAATCAATTGCAGTCATTATACCTTGGTAGTCTCGAATTTTTGTAAATTCCATAACATCGCTTATCGTACGAGCTGCATCAAAATTGGTTCGTCCTTTCACAAAGGCATTCTGATCATAATGAATGATATGCGGTAAGACGTTCTCTAGCCTTTTGGCGATAGCTTTTGAGCCGATTTTAACATCAACATTTACTAGAGAAATTGGTCTCCAGTTTTTTATCCATCTCCTGTCTTTTAAGGTTATCACGACTTGCTTTTGCGAATTTGATAATTCTCCATGAAAATACGCATAATTTAATGAATCCACTAGAAGAGTTCCGATTTCTGACCAGAGGAACTTGTGAAATTATGTTGTAAGCCCGTCGTTTCCAGGAGTTTTATCGTTACTAAAGGTAGCCAGAACATTGAAACATTCGGAATATGTTAATTGGCCTTCGCACGTTTCACGCATTGAGTCAGTTAACTTAGGAGATGAGAGGGTATGTTCTAGAAAAGGACAAGTTGAATAGTCAGTTCAGTTGTATTCCCGACTTTTCGTCATAAAGTTCCGAGTAAAAACTGTGAATTTCATTCATAATAGTGTCCGGAACAGTAGTCTCTTCTCCATTTGCTCGAATAAGCTTTCGTATGCAGCTTTTTTTCTTATTTCTGTTTTCTAGATTCGGGAAATACTTGCTGTTTCTTTCCCCTTGTTCAAACGCGGGAACGAATGATCGAGCCTCTTACGACGTAATCATACTCTTTTTCATAATCTATCTTGGCCGATTCGAGGTTAGCCCTCTCTCGAATAAACGCCCTCCCTTGGGGTACCAAAGGTAAATAAGCGCCCCGGGCGCTAAATTGAATCATTACGATTGGCTAAAAACTGAAGATGGCATGGGAAATCCACTTTTTGTTTTATTTTATTTATTTATCAACAAAGAAAAAGATAAACGATATCTGCATCAGTAGGCCAGTTTCTACAGAACACTGAGTTCCTTATTAAAATTAAACTGTGTGAAAGAATATCTTAATTATGCAAACCTAAACTTACTTTCCATAACAAAGCCAATAAATAAACATTATACCTATAAAAAATATAAAATATAAGACACTTAAAACTCGAGAAAATAAACTAATACATCATATTATATGAGAAAAAATACTTTACACAGAAAAAGCAATGATTTCTTGAATTGTTTTGTGCATCGATAGCACAAGTTTATGGTCATTGACAATCTGTCTGGATGTTATCCGTTCTTTGTTGTTTTGGTTACCTCAAAAAAAAATAGTACTTCATTTGGTCTGGATAATAGCAGGCAAGTAACTATTTTTAAAAAAAATGGACAACAACTTTGAGTTTAAAACAAGAAATATTTCGATCGTTCAACGATCATCTTCATTACTTTTATGCCAAAATTGTACGCATCAAAAACACCCCGATTTATTACTACTGATCGCTGTCACCCAACTCGTGTAAAACTAATTCCATTCAATGCTGAAGGGTACCCATGTATTAGATTTACATGACTTCCCAATAAAAGGGCAATTTAATTAAAACCTAATTGCGAATCAAAATTCCGCGTTGAAAGCGAATTTAGAACTATTTATGTTACAGAAAAAAGAAACTCTGGAAATTGCCCTCGTTCAACTCTGGTTCCATTGCTACTCTCAGAACTGTTGTCAAAACTAAATGTAACTCCTGAACACAACACGGATTTTCTACCATCTACACCAAAGCAAGAATTGGCACCACAGATGGAAGCTTCAATCCGGTAGAGGCCACCTTTCATTATAACAACTGGACGGTCAAAGAAAATATTGAAACCGTAGTAACAGACAGTGACTAACTCTGACTCGATGTGTACTGAAGAAAATTTTCCTGTTTTCGAACAAATATCATTCCACTTACCCTTATCTAAACATTTTATCTGAATACCTACACCATAATTATCATTTCTGCTTCCACAGAGTGTCACTCCAAGTAAGGAGATGTCTTTGTCGACCTCAAAAAGAAGACAGTCTTTTTTACCAGCTGCATAGGGATGACCAGAGCCAGTGTGAACCACGGAACGAAATCTGTAACAACGCTGAAGCGATTCCCTTCTCTTCTTCTCGGAAAATACTACTGGAGTGTCTGGGACCGAATTAAAATATTTTACTACGCTAAAAGCCTCGTCTGGGGTCAGTATCTTGCTGTCAAGAACAACTGCAGCAAATTCATGTTGGGTCATCAATGGAAAACGTATTCCTTTCACCATCTGTTCGCCGAGAATTCTTCTTTTCTCACTTCCATCTGTCGATAAGCCTTGTTCCTCACATCTCTTTGTCGCCCACAAATTCACCCCTTTGAACAACTCTATTTCTTGAATATTCAAAGTGTCACGCTCGACCACTGCCTCAAGTAAGGATCTCTCAATTGTCACAAATCCTTCCGATTTCACAGCTTCTTCTGCTTGTTCATCGATCACTTTCCAGCAATGGTCCACCAGTTTTTTCTCTTCATATTTCTGTGCTTGTGTCAAGATGCTGAAAACATTCGATGCATCTAAGTTATCTTGAAGATATTCCGCACCTTTATCAGCCAGTGAGGGCACCATGTATTTCTTCGCCAAATATAACACTCCCATCACATTACTTCCGCTC